TGTCTCCACAGCAAGCACTCTTTAACACTGAGCCCACTGCCCAGCATGCTCAACTCTTTTTAAGGACTTTCCCTGGGTGCACAAGTAGGAACCCCACGGAGCAGAGCGAAGATTAGAATTGAAAATCAAGATGTCTGTGAGCACCTAGAGAACAAGAGCTGTGGCTCATTATCCCCAGGGCTTAAGCCCTGGTCATTTCCTTAGGACACCAGCACAGTGGGTTGTATTGCCAGGGCCAGGACCAAAGCAGATGAGGCCCATGTCTTCTGGTTGATCAGACATGGAAGGGTGGGGAAATTTGGCTCCTGGGGTTGCAGAGCAATGGGAAGGCAGGCACTGCAAGACTATAACCCCATTACTCTCAACGTCTCTCTTCAGGAGCCCATGGGTCTGAGCACATCCCACTTTGAGATGGAGAGCTCCAGAAGCAGTCTGATGATTGCCCCAGTCCGGGTAATGAAGACCTTGACTCTAGGCCTACTCTTCTCCATTTTCCTCCCTAGATGGTCATATGACCCCCAAGAAGAAAGAGAATTGAAGTCAGCAGGGTTCAGGGACTCTTGACTAAGAGGTCCACAGTGCTTGCAGCTCTATTTGTAGGAGACTCTATGTGTTTCTGCTGTGATTACAGTGTGTGTGCATCTAGAGATCCTGCAGGGCTTTAGAAACCTGAGTTTGAACATGCTAGTCCCTTGGCTCTCAGTCAGGTCTCCAGATGGCACCCTGTGTTGACTAAGGTTGGCCTATATGGACAAGAAAGAAGGTATCAGACTCTGATCTGTGTTTTCCAACCCTCTGAGCTGTCATGTGCAGGATGGGGCTCACACTGACTTCAGCATCAGGCATGCCTTACATCTGGAATCTTCTCAGTAAGATGAACTTGATACCACTTGTATGTCATTGTCTACCTATTAGGCTGAGGCCCGTACATAGGCCTCTTCCCACTTCCCAACTCCTTTGACTCCACTAGAACCTCCAAATCATCACAGCCTGAGAGTTTCCCTAGCAAGTCTCTGACTGTGTTCACCACTTAAAGGTATAGCAGGCTCAGGTGGCCCCTACCCCATGCCTATGGATATCAGGGGTCAGAAGAAACTCTGGCGCTGCGCATGGTGCTCATGACCTCCCAATGGGCCACTTTTTCACATTTGCACATCCCAAAGAGCCTGTCTGTTTGAACCTAATTATTTTCAAATGCTGTCTCCTTGTGATAATTCATTTACAGGTGAGACTCTTTAATGAATCTGTACTCAGGATTCTTTTCTGCAATTGACCTGACAGATGAGTCTTCCCTGTACCCCAACACCCCAGTGTTGCTTTGCTAGTATATTTAAACTTTAGTGTAAGTCCCTGAGCACCTTGACCCCCAGATGAGACTCCCCAGTAGAAACACACTTTGAGATGTGCCTGCCCATTTTATCAGTCAGGGCTGCTGTTTGTACAAATGAAGGATGATGGTCATTCTCATCAAGACACAGAGCTGAATACATACGGAGGACTGTGCTTGCAGCTCTCAGAGCAGTCCTTCATGCAAATGAAGGCTGCACTTGCACAATTCACAGGCCTATTGCTGACCTATCATGACAAGTTCTCCCCTTGTGGCCTGGTTAAAATAGTTTCACACTCTACTAGAGTTCCCCAAGGCTCCTGGTGGCAAAGTTAGAGTGCAAGCTGTCTTGAAACAGCTTGCTGAAGCACTGCCTTTTAGTGACAAGGCTGCGTTTTGACAGCAGCAGCCAGTTCTATTTGCTATGTAACTTCCTCAGAGTATGTGCAGAGTGTTCAGTGGAACCCATGCTAACATGAAGGCAGCTTTGCTGGCTCATTGACTGCCATGCCTTCACTGAAGACAGGCCAGGACATGAGGAGAAAATGTAACAGTTGCTAATTAGGAAGCTAAATTTCCCTGTCCTCCTAAATATTGGCATATTGAAAGGAAAAATGAAGTATTTATGAAAGGAGTATCTTACAATGATGGCCTACCTTCAACACTATCTGCCATTTAGACATTGTGGTAACTGTAGTACCGGTGCCCAGGAGTAACTGGTGCTCTCAAATATGTGAGTGTGGATGGGAACCTGGTAGCATGGTTATTTAATGACTTGTGCATACAGTGAAACTCACTTTTCTTTTCATAGTTGTGGACTGGCTGTGTTGACTAAAACTTCATATACTAAAGCATCAATATCCAATGCGGTACTTTGGGAGACATGCCCTTTAAGTCTGAGATTACTTTTATGTGAGGTTATGGAGGTAGGAGGCTGATCTGCTGGAGTCATCACTTATAGTTAATAAGACACTGGGAACCTTCTTTCCATATGCTACACTCCTGCACTGCCCGGTAAGAACACAGTAAGAAGGTGCTCCTTTGAAAGCCATGAAGACAGATCGTATATACATCACCATAATCTTGCCTTTTACAAGGTGTGGGGTAGGAGGAATTGGATGAGTTGTCCCTATTGGTTCTGTCTTCTTTCATTTACCATTTGGATTCATTTTGTTACTGCCTGAAGCTGATGGGTTTCCTTTGTGTCATTCCTAAATGATGTTCAAAGGAAGGAGTGACCACAGGGTGCAGATCTATTCACACCCTGTAGAAATTTAACCTTATGGCCAGTGTGAGCAGGGCTTCTATAGCAGATGGTCAATGCTTCAAAGCAACTGTTGGTATTTTTTTCAGGATGCATGTTAATTTACCTAACTTTACTAGGATGGCTGTGAGTCTAGCTTAGGCCTACACAGAAATGAAAGACTGTGACATTGTTCAGAAAAGTTTATGCTGTCTTCTTTGTTCCCCTGGCCCCTGGAGCAAAGATGATCCTGTACTCAGAGCAATGGGACTCTGCTACATCCAAGATACCTGGTGCTGTTTGGTGCCCAGCCTGGAACTCTGGTGGGTTAATGACAGGGTCCACAACATTGAGTACAGCAGCATCATAGAGGCCTGCATCTGCAGCCTGCCTTATTCAGAGGTCAATACACCTGGCCTCAATATGAAAGGAGGCTGAGCTGACTCCAGCACATTGTACAGTTGCATGCGGAGGTTAAGAATGGCTGTGGCCATGTATCTTACTTAGGTTTCTATCACTGTAACAAAACAGCATGGCCACAATCAGCTTGGGGAGGAAAGGGTTTATTTTAGCTTACACTTCCTGGTCATGGTGCATCATTGAGGAAATCAGAAGAGGTAGACAAACAGAGCAGGACCAGGAAGCAGCAACTGAAGCAGAAGCCATGGAGGACTGTTGCTTACTACCTGGTCAGTCCGTTTTCTTGTAAAACCTAGGACCATCTAGCCAGGGTTAGAACCACCCTTAGTGGGCTGAGCCCTCCATATCAGTCATTAATCCAGAAAATGTCCCACAGTATTGCCCTCTGTCTGATCTTATGGAAGCATTGTCTCAACTGAAGTTCCTTCATCACTGGTGATTCTAGCTTGTGTCAAGTTGTCAGAAAACTAATCAGAACACACATGTAACAGATTTCTTGAACTTTCTCTGTAGAGTCAGCCCCTGCAGGTGCTTTAATTCACACCTGTCTGTGGCTTCACCTCACATGGGGATACCAGGCCTGGAAGGACTTCTCTGAATGGGCTACCAGGAAACAAGCAGTAAAGAAAAACAGGCTTCACCACTTTGGGGACTGTGATGTTATCACAAAAAGTTGGGGGCAGTTAGGGTGTTACATCCACCTGGTCATGCCCCTCTGATCATTGCAGACACCCAGAACCTTGCTCCTGTAGGTCTGGGCACTGCCAAATGGACCACATGAAATCTATCTCAGCCCCGTCCAAATCAAAGTTCCTAGAAAGCACAGTGAGTCATAAATAATGAGTCTCAGTCCTCCCTGTTTGGAGGACGCCTGGCCTTTGCCATGTGCTCCTCCTTCAAATATGTAGATTTTGAGGCCATTGACCTGCACCTTCAGGCATGGAACCTCTGCTTCTTCCCTGGAGGTGGCACTAACAGGAAGAGACATAGGCAGCACTGGCTGACCAGCTCCTGCCCTTACCCATATCCCTCATGGGCATGAGTGCTGCTGACAGTGTTCATTTGCCATTGTTCCCTACCATTGGGACCAGTACTCACAGGTCAAACTAGGGGACCAGAGCATGTTGGAATTAGAACTGATGGCCCCAGGGATGAGTGAGGCTGCTGGCAGGCTGAAGAATAGATACAAAAAGAGTCACAGGAGTGACCCCAGGAGACAGATGCTGACATCTGGGTGTACCTGCACTACCTTATGAGAGGTTCTAGGGTACCAGAATTCCCAGGTGATATCCTCCTGTGACAGTGTCATCCTGGAGGATGCCATGGCATACATGACCTCCAGGGAAGCAAAGCTGGAATACCTGAGTTGTTAGATACGGAGGCTTGGTGTGCCCGGTCTCATAAGAGAGCCCCTGATGTATTGAATTCCACATTAGACTCACAGTGCTTCTTCTCGTGCTCAAGTAGGATTTTATCCCCTGGTTCTTACAGGTGAGTCTCCTGGGTTCCTCTGCATTTCCAGATGACTCTTACATTTTTTGTGCAGACCCAGGCTAGACCCTTATCTACAACTTTAAGATGAGGGGCATTGGCATCCCTGTCAATAAAATGTCACCAGTTTGTTTGAAATGCTCATACTCTGATAGGGCTGCTTTGCAGGTTCTCCATGGATTGTTAGACCCCTGGAGAGAGGCTAATGCATCTCACTCCCAGTCTGGTGCACTTGCCATCCCAAGTGACAATGACTCCCTGGAGCGCTTTAAATCCAGGGTGAGACTTTCTGATGCATGTACATTTCAAAGATACTGTCCTTTTTGTACTTGCATTCCCAGACCTCTGTTATACTTTTATTGATAGCTGAAGCCCCCTGGAACACTCACTTCCATTTGAGACCCCCTGGTAGGATGTCTCTTCCTGAAGAGACCCTCTGCTGAATCAGTTTTGCTACATGAGAGTCCCTAAACCATTTGAACCTCATCAAGTGATTTCTAGGTGTGCATACACTATGAGACCCTACAGCCCAGCACACCTTTGCTCTATGGAAAGACTCTCTGGGGTCCCTCCACTCCCTAGTGACCAGGCGCTTCCAGGTGAGAGGTCATGCTGCTCCTGCACTCCCAGCAGGGTCTCTGCTCTGACTCTGAACTTCTGCATGCTCCATGGTGCATTCTGCATACTGCTACAAGCACTCCCAGGCTGGTCTCCTTGGAATACCTGCAACATCTGGGATGCTCCCTGCTGAGGGGGCACCTGTACACATGTGTGAGTCTCCATGGTCCACTTGCACCTGCAGTCAAGAAACCACAGGGCTGCTGCACTTCCTTTGCTCCTGTCTGTCCAGGTGTGTCTGCAATTCTGAGTCACATTCTGCAGGCACTTTTGTTTCCAGATTAGACTCATCTGTGCCTCGAAAGTCCCATGAGTCTCTCTGATGTGCTTCTGCATCTCGGTCCCTGGGACAATATGTGAGTCACCTGACCCATCTCAGCTTTCTAGGGCAAATTCTCTGCTGGGTATGCATTTCCCAGTGAGACTACCTGGCCCAACTGTACTCCATGTGAGAACTCCTGGTGCACATGCATTCTCAGGTGTGAGGTGACTCTATTGTATCCACCCTCTCAGGCCAGACACCTTGTAGGGCCTTTGCTCCAAGGTAAGTCTCCCTGGTAAATCTCAATGTTCAGAACAAATGCCAATGTACTTTCTCTTCTAGATGAGCCTTGCTGTCGACAATACACCCTTGAGTGAGCATCCCAAATTGACATGCACACGTAGGCACCCTTCTGTACTGGGCCTCTGAAATCAGACTGCATTGAATCCCGCCATTATAGCTGCACTGCTATTGAACTTTCATGTAAGAATCTGTTGCACTCTCACATCTAGGTGATGTTTCCTGGTGTACACACACTTCAAACTGAGTACCCCTGTGCTGATAAAGTCTCAGATGAAACTTAATGCTGCAACTTTACACACAGGAGAGATTTCTGTGGTGCAAATGCAGCTGACTCTGTTATATCTGCTTTCCAGAGACCCAGTCATCTCGATAGACCTCCAAGTCTGCCTGTGTCACGCTGTCAGTAGGACTTCAGGTCTGGCCGTGTCACACTGTCGTGCCTGCTATATCTCACAAGTCTCTCTAAAGCTATTTTAGGTCAATTTGAGACCCTCGGGTGTGTAGTGACTTTCAGATGTGATCCTGTTGCACAAATACCTGCACGAGAAACATCCTGGTGTTCTGGGGCTCAGAGATGAGAGTAAGTGATGCAACTGATTTTTCAGTTGAGGATTCTTGGTTATCTGAAATCCCAAATAACAGACTCTGGTTCACCTTCCCTCACAAGTGAATGTCCCTATGCTGTTCAAACCCAAGCGACCCTCTGCCTTTCAAACTGAGCCTCTGTCCTGCACCCCCACTCTCAGCAAGTCACCCTGGAACACCTAACTTGTTATGTCCATCATGGTGCTGCTGTGCACTTGCAGGTGACACTCCTTGGTTTACCTGCACGTGCTGATGAGGACGAGGGGCACTTGCACATCCAAGTGCTGTACCCTGACCCTCCTCTGCTTCTGTGTGACACATCCTGCAGCAGCTTCCTTCTGATGTGAGAGTTGGTGGTACACATGCCCTCCAGGTGAGTCACACTCATGATTGACAATTCACACACTGTGCAAGCATGCAGTCCCCCAGAATTCTGCGTTTCTAGTTGACTTTCTTTGTGCACATGGACTACTAGGTGATCTTAGCTGAGTTAAGATGGTTCCCCTGCACTTCTAGCTGAGTTTCCTTGCAGAACCCGAAGTCCCCACTTACACTCTCTGGAAACAATGACCCACCAGATGAACAACTGCAATAGATACAAACAGAACATGCCGTCATTATGTGCTCTTTACACTTTAATTACCCTTTAGTGCAATTAAATCACAGTATTTTGGTGTTTTACCTTCATCTCTTCCTTTTCCCATAGATAACTTTCCTCGTCTAGATCCAAGTTTTTTTAAACTACTGCTTCTGCCTAGAGAATGTTTTGCAGAATTTCTAGAAGAGGGGTCTTCTGGTGGTCTAGTTTGATATTTGGAGCTGTGATGAAACATTGCAAAAGTTAGCTTGTGTAGGAAAGCAGTTATTTCATCTTATACACCCAGGTCACAATTCTTCATCAAGGGAGGTTGGGTCAGGATTCAAAGCAGAAACCCAGAGGTGAGAAGTAAAGCAGAGAAGTTGGAGTGAAGCTGCTAACAGGCTATTGAGTGCATCTCCATTCGGGTAGGTATTTGATACAGCTCAGAACCACCTGCCCAGTGATGGAACCATTCACTGTGGGCTGGAACCTCCACAACACCTATTGTCAATCTGTGGGACTTGACCACTTTGCTTGGAGTCAACAACCCTTTCACAGGAGTCTTGCATAACAGATATTCACAACTTGTAATAGTTGCAAAATTACAGTTATGATGTTGTAAAAAAATAGTTTATGGATGGGGTGACCATAATATTAGGAATTGTACTGAAGGATCACAGCATTAGGAAGGTTGAAGCACTGTTCCACATCAATCTGTAATAAAGGTAATTTCTCTCTCACAGACATGGTTACTGGGCAATCTGACCTGAGCAATCCAACATCTGAGTCTCTCCAAATGACTCTGGGCTATGTTTAACCAAAATCAGTAGCTAACTAGGACACCCAGTAAAGAATTCTCCCAACTTTTACTTGAGAAAGACTCTCACTCTCATTGGAAAATATTTTAACCATTGTTACAAGATGATAAACCCCTTAGCTATCACCCCTCTATCAGAATTCATGCCAT